AATATTTCTTCAACTTGCATTTGCTAACTTTATTATTGCCTTTTCTGTCCGACTAGTTGGGTGATACCAATTAGACCCTTCGCCCTCAAGGGTCATGCGATCAATAGCCCATTTGGCTTCGCCTCATGTGCTATTGACCCGTAGCCCTTGTGGGCTACGGGTCTAATTGTTAATTATTATATGACTTGTGTTTGTAGCCATTATAGCGCGTGTTCCATAATTGGCTAATCATAGAGCATTATTTTTCCGTAATGCCCACGCGCCGATTACGGGCCTTCAAAAGCAAAACAAAAAAGCCATATAATAAACAACTTATCAACCTTAAACCTTCGTTCTTTACTGGAAAATCTCACAAGTACCTTGCCCTTGCCGTATTGACCTCACTATCGCTCAGTCAATACGGCAAGGTCTCGGTTTGAGATTTTCCCGTAAAGACCTCACTCTCAGTTAATAAGTACTTAATACTGATCAACCGTATGGGCCCAAAGGTAAAAATTAAACCTGCAATAAAGCCAATCGACTGCCCGGAGGATATCAGCTGTCCATAATGTTTGGAGGAGACCTGTTTTCACCAAAAAAGGACAACTGATAAACTGATAATTGAAGAATGCTTTCTCAAAAAAATAAAATTAGTGTTTAAAAACTGGGCTTCAACAGCTTTGTGGTCATCGTGGAGATTTGAACGTTTGGAGGTTGGGGTGTAGGGAAGTTTCAATGACACTGAGTAAATGTAGGAAGTGAATTGTGGCTGACAGAAAAACCTGCCTGTTAAAGAGAGGTGGCCATAAGTACAGGCTCAGATCAGCTTCGATAAATTCCACTGAATAAACAGGCTAAGGATAGTAGTTTGATACCGATAACAGTTGTTTGTACAATGCACGCGTGTACTTAGTAACCGGCTGTACACTTATTGCACAGGGGGCAAGAATCAGGAACAAATGTCTGGGAGACGAAAGAGAAGACTTATGGCCACCTCTCACGTGCACGTGTAGAAACAAGAGAACGATACGGAACTTTGACGACATTTGTTGGGCCTGACTAGCTGACTTTTCACGCATTCTTATCTGCATGGAATAAACCGGGCGCGTGTATATGAACCAAACACGCGCCCTTTCTTAGCATGGATCCATCAATGACATTTACCTTATACACGATTGTCCTGTTCCAATATTTGGTGATCTAAAAAACATTAGCTAGTGCCATATATTTTGAACAGCCCTATGTTAGTTTAGAACAGAGGAGTTAGAAATAGAACTCTGAGAACCTTAATTACACTAGTACAGCTCGACAAGGAAGTTTTTGTTGGAACGAAGTTTTCAAACAGCGATTTTTTTCTTTTCGGAGATATACTTACCATTCTATATACATACCCATCAGTTTTATTGTACCTTTGAACTGGGATTTGAGAAATTGCTCTCAGTATATATGTTAAATCTAGCATTTTGCAGAACATAATAAATTTTGATTTCTTTCCTGGAGCCATTGGATCTTGTGAGTCATGTTTCTTTACCCATGCAGTTGGCAGCCGTGTCAGTTAGAAAAGAGGATCGAAGCAGTGAGACGCAGACTAGCAAGAGATCTAATGTGAACAAAAACGGAATCACAATGCTAAATATAAGGTCGCACTGCCTCCTAGAGGAACAAAGCTAACATTCACATGTCATGCCAATAGGCCATTTCCGAGTTACCTTTTGCCTCTGTGTCAAAACGAGTCTTGTGCTAAACCATTCATATGAAAATGCGTTTCACCTATATACAGGTTCATTTTCATGCAAATCAAACTCATTTTCTTATCGAAGGTTTTGAACGAAGACTCGTTAGAAACCGATTCACTTGTATAGGATTTGCGTTTCTAAAGGCACCATTACATGAAAGACCTAGGTGTAACACTTCAGAATAATGGTTCTATTTTCCAATTATGCGCGTCATGGAAGTGCAAATAAGCCAGGCAAGATGGCTCTTCTCTCTGAGTCCTGGCAAGCTGTTGAGCCTGTACAGCTTTATTATGTTCCTTTCCTATTAATAGGTGCTGGTGTGTGCAGAGACAAGGTCGATTTGGCTTTTCTAGTTGATGCATCTGGTGACAAAGACAAGAGAGGACGAGAACATTTTAAAAGTAGTCTGGCAATCGCCAAAGCCATCGCCAGTATGTTTGTTGTCAACCATCTGCAAACTCATATTGGTTTTGTTGTATTCTCTACCAATTCTCAAGTTGTGTTGAATTTCAAGACATACTTTGACCAAAAAAGTGTCGAAAACGCAATAGATGGAATACAGTACTTAGGGGGAAACACCAACATTGGCGACGGACTAAGGCTTGTGAAGAAAGAACTGTTTGATGCCACTTCCAGAACAAACGTACCACATATCTTGATTGTGCTGACATCAGGAAAATCAACCGAAGATGTCATAACTCCATCAAAAGCACTCAGGGATTCCGGTGTGACTGTTTTCTGTATTGGAATTGGAAAAATGTACAATGAGAAAGAACTCGATGAGATAGCGACAGACCCGGATGCTAGTCACGTGCTTACAGCGGATGTCGCTCGGCTTGGTCTTGTTATCAAGGCAGTTAAAGGCAACATCTGTAAAGGTAAAAAAGAAAACTATGCATGGCTGAGCGAAAAAAAAAACTTCCTTTTGCAAAGACGGTACCAGTTACTTAAATGTTAGTTTCCCCATTTTTAGCCAGGACCTTAAGAAGATAGCAGAGAGGTCTTGACAAGGAGAGGTGTTTTACCAAGCACGTTTCAGGGTTCCAATTCCTTGCCGTAGGCAGTTTCACTTACAAATCGTGTGATGAACGAAACGTATCTTTTAAGGTGACCGCTACGCCACGGCTCATTTCCTCCCGAAACATGTCTTGTGAGTAAAAATACTTATTAACTACTTCTACGTTTGCGTTCACGGCGTTTCGAAACTTAGGAAAACGACTGAAGAACTTAACCAGGGGTTTTGTGATAATCACCAAACAAATTATGAAATGTTCTTGTGTCTAATTTCTTCATTCTTTTCATCAGCCAATATCCGGCCAGTGGCTCTGTTTCCATTGAACGCGAGATACGAAGCACGAGATGTGATTGGTGGAAATCCTCCCGGGGAAACAAGTCTGGTCATTCCAGCTGTGGGGCCTGATAACAAGGAAGGCGACTCGCTCTCATTTCTTGGCACACCAGATAGTTTCATCGAGTTTCCAAATAATGGTAAGCTGGATACTAAAGATTCTTTGACCATACTGGCGTGGGTATTCCCTGAGAAGGCCGGTCCCATCTTCAACTTTAAAAAGGATGGCTGGGGAGCGAATCTGTGGTTGGCGCAACCCAGAAAGTTATTTGCTCATTTTGTGGATCGAAATCATAAAAAAACGGTTCAGCCATTGCAAAGCACAAAGGTTGCACCAAATCGATGGAATTACATTGGCGCCACGTATGATCACACAACTGGAAAAGCTGGTCTGTGGATAAACGGCAAATTTGTAGATTCCAAGAACTTAGGCCAAATTGAGCTAGCTACTAACTATACAATAAGAATGGGGGCTAGAGTCGGAGATAAAAGAAACTACCGGGGCCGCATTGCATGTCTGCAGATTTACGATATACCTCTGTCTTCAGAACAGATTGATAATACTAAAGAAATTTGTAAGCGATACAAAAGACAATGATTGGCTCTCTTTTGCTTGTACAACCGGAAGGCTTTCTTCCAGTTATGAATTATTACAAAGATATGGCTCCACGTTTATTACATTGCACGTCATTCAGACATTGCTCTTGATGATACCAGGGCGTTTTGTTTATGCAGTCCTTCACCTTACTAACTTTTTTTATTTTGGGGTTGAAATTAAAATAATCGGAAAAATAGAGTCCACAATAGTAATTTACATTCCAAATTAAACAAATGCTATAAGTCCTTGTAAATGGTTTTGTAATAAAATCTTGATACATGAATAAAGTTGGTTTAACTATTTCACAGATTTTGTTGTTATTGTTGTTGTTGGCCGGGGGGAGGGGCAATCAACCTCTGTTCTTCTACCGTGCCACAGGTGCCTGAGGCACTGATTGTTTGTAGGAACGTAGATGATTGGCCAAACGAAACAAGAGTGACCAAACTCGAGCCCAGGGCCCGTTTCCTCGGCTCTGCGGTCAGCGGTTGCGTCGCCGGAGAGACCTTGGGGTGACCCTTGCAGTAAGGAACAACTGAGTGCTTGGGAGTTAGAGGTTGGACAAACAACGAAAATGTTGAATTTTGCCTATTTCAAAACTTGCTCAAGATGTGTGTTATTTTTTTTTAACAAGAATATTTAATCAGAGCCAATATCTTGTCGCTGAAATTTTGAGATAGAGATTTTTAGATACTGGGCAATATATAGCAGTTTTCATGACCTGTCTTTGCCCTCGGTGTTCCGATCTTGGCTATTTATAATTATTGACGTTCGTATTTTTCAACTCCCGAATATGAATAAAGATCTTGGGACATTTTAGAAGAGGAGTAAAAACTGAGCTCTGTTACTGGCTAAAAGGGATTTTTGAAAAAAAAAAACAAGCCGGATTTTTTAATGTGACCGGCGTGACTGCTCGATCTGTGTAAAATTGCTCGCATGGCTTTATGTTATTTAGAGCCTTGAAAGTCCGCCAGGCTATCTGATTACAACAATCTTTTCTTTTGGACGTGAACCCGGGGACGTGAGCCCATAGACGTCATAGACACCATCCGGCATGATGGAGAGCGAGAATCGTTCTACAAACTCTAAAGAGAGCAGGAAGACAGACTATCAATGCCCATCATGACTGGAGGTTTTGGTCGTTACCAGATGGTTTTTTACGCTTTTATATGCTTGGTTTCCATTCCTACAGGCTTTCAGCTCTCTCTTCCAGTTTTCTACGGCGTATCTCCTCCATTTACCTGCGCGGTGTCAAAGGTTGCTAATGACACTTGCTCTGTGGGAAAATGCTCAGGCTGCGGGAAATACGAATATAAAGGAACATTTACTAATGCAGTGTCTGAGGTAAGTCGCGCCTACAGCTACTAAGCCGAGTATGCTATTGCGAGCATTGAGCTGTTTACAGGGCAGGCAGTAACGCTCTTACACTATTTTTGTGGTAGCGTGATGTTAAACAGTAAGTCCCCTTTTTCACGTGATGCTTGTTTTGATTTTTTAGATTTCTAACTTTGGTCTTGGACTTAGGGCCAGAAATAAAGCGGAGACTTAGAGCACTAAAAATGATATTCGGAACTGCTATTGTATCTTCTTGAAATTTAATACATGTAGCGTTACGAAATTTGCCATGCAGTCTTATATACCATAACACTTTCCCTACTAAAGAAACTGACCAAACGTTTTCACAATCATTTAATTTGAGTTATTTGAACTAACCGTTAAATTTTTAGTGCAACACTCGCAGTCACGTTAACACGTTGTCCTACAGATGTCAAACGACATATGTGCCCGCAAAACAGCGGAATTGCGAAAAAAGGCGTCCGTGTTGACTGCCGCTCATAGAAAATAAGAGCGCACTGATCCCCTTCACTGTAAGGTGCTATGATCACGGTTCTATCAGCGAGTAGACAATGTATAAGAGCTGATTTCCA